TTCAACCTCAACTCCTTTTCCAAATGTCAAACAAGTCTTAATTTAGAAACAAACGATTAAAGCTTTCACCTTGAACTGTCAGTTTTGAAGTTGACTATATTCACTTAACAAAAAGCCAAAAAAATCTTTATGAAAGTATAGCTGCCGTCTCAAAAAAATAGATTATCCTGGAGTCTGAACACCAAGAAGCTGACAGCAGCGTTTGAGCAAATCGCCTGATAAATGTGACCCAATCTTAGAAATGCCATGGCTTTTTCCCCACAGCACACAAATATCCCCTAAACAAACATGCCCGCTCTCTCTCATTCTCACAGCTGCCACATTTCCGTCTAATTGTCATGTATTTTTAATATATTCCTTTGAGCTCCTCCAGATGAATTGTGAAGTAATTGCAAACTTGACATTTACCTCAATTAATAAATCACACACTAAATGGACGGGTCACTGTTCTGTTATCAGCTAGACCTGGGATGGTATTCTTCTGAGGTGAACCTTGCCACGGAAGTACATCTAGAAGAGTTGAAGTTTTATGTTCGGAGTGTCTCCAGTCCTGCTCTTGCTCTTGGTCACTATGCAGATCGATACAGGAAGGCTTATGAGAGCCATTTAATGTCCACGTGTCGATTATGTTTGGCTGTACTCCAGCGTCTGAGAGTTGTTTGTCACAATAATGAAATACATAATGCATGATGGGAAGGGAGAAATAAAGAAGCTACATCTGGTCCCTTACGAGAGAGGAAAGAGTTAGAAGGAGAGCGAGAGGATGATGGAGAATGCCGTAATTCTAATCAGATGTTAATAGTGTCTTGCGCAAGATGAGAAATGCCGGTGTTCTGTCGATTTGTGCTACCCTGTCAGATTTTGCTACCTCCCATTAAAACAGTGGGTAGTACAATTCGACAACAAAAAATGCTACCTGTAAAATTATGGTTTATTAACGTCTACACCTACCACAACCCTAAACCTACCCTTACAGTAATGCAAATACAGTAATTATGTGTTATATCCGCGGTTGTAGCTAGACGGGATACAGCTACAGAAAACCAACAATAAATAATATTTTCTACCTATTAGATTGTGTTTTATTAAAGTCTACACCTACACCTACCCCAACCCTAAACCTACACTTACAGTAATGCAGATACATTCAATATTGTTGTTCAGCATGAGAAAAAGGATGCAATATTGATGTGCGCATGTGCAGTAAACCCTGGTGGGACAATCTGATGAGTAGGATAAAATGTCAGGACACCGGCACGGATCAACCTGTTCTTAGCCATTTGTGGGGATCACAAAATAAAAAACGATATTAATAATTAAATTACCGAACACGTCACCTGACCTCCATCTGTTCCATCTAATTATCCTCACGTCGCGCATTAAAAAGCAAGCTAACAAATGCAAAACCTCATAACACAATTGAGCTTCCTGTGCCTCAAAAATTAATTAATATTCTTTTATTCTCCTCGGAAGACAACCGCCGAATCACTCCGAACCGCCGAATAGCCCCAGGGCTCTGAATCCTGTGATTTGTTTGCAGAATAAGGGATTTTATGTGTTATATATTAGTCAAATGCTAATAAATACAAAGCCAAAGTGTTACATATTGTGTTTTCGTTGCTTCTGAGGAAAGTTAAAGATCGTAGATGCATCCGTTTCTCCTTAATTTGGTATTTAATGCTCTCTTCGGCCATTTATAGTTATTCATTTGGATTGTTTGTTTGTCCATTTATGTATTCACGGTTGTTTTTCTTGTGAACAATAAGGGAATGAACTAATGTGCTTTCTTATATGTCTGAGGTAAATGCAACTACACACAATGAACAAACAAACACACGATACTTACTGGTACACACAAACACATAATAAACTGGCTTGAGAGAGAGAGGGAACCAGTATAGACGATGAAAGAGAGAACTTAGATTCCCCCTTTTGAACTCCCTATCAAAGCGCATTGGTTTAAGTAAAGCAGCTCTAAACTGCATGGCCTGAGTTGATCTGCAAACGTCTTCTATGGTAAGAAAAGAGGAAAGGACCACAGAAACTGACACTGCAATTAAACCAGGGCTCCCTAGCGGCAATGCTTCTCAACCTTTTTTATGGTGACGCCACACTTTGAAAGAAAGAAAAAAAACTTTGGCGGCCGACCTCCAGAATATTTCATCTTAAAATAAAAAAAAAGAAAGAAAAGAATCCCTCAACACCCATATTAGGAGAAGGCAGCAGAGGAGAAGAAACCATGAATAAACAAATAAAAATACAATAGAAACACTGCTTTTGGACATCAAACGTCAACACTGTACTTCTGAACTTGTGAAAGTGAACAAGATGTGAGAACTAGTGAAGTCTTCCACAATTTGAAAAGCGCTGCCCTAAGGGTTTCATATATATGTACTCTGTAATGTTGCATCAATGTTACACTACAAGACTGCTGAACAGGTTTTATTGCCTTTATTGTCAAGAAAGTTCAACATTTATCACCCTGCTTGAAATATTTGGATTCGGTACATAAAATAACATTAGGGGACAAATGCAATTTTCTGTTCATTTATTTTTAATGCACAACCTTTAAAGTTGCTCCTGCTACCAGATTAAAAGATATTTGAATTTCAATTTTATGTTTTTCTAATGAAACACTGTGTTTGGGTGACATATTTTTATGGTGGGGGTAATGTCACTCACTTATGTAGCGTTTCTTATGTTCCATTAAGGGCTGAGATCTATAATTACATACACTCTAAAAAACGCTGGGTTAAATATGGACAAACCCAGAGAATTGGGTTGTTTTCAACCAACAGTTGGGTTAAATGTTTAACCCAACCTTCTGGGCAGTAACCCAACCGCTGGGTCAAAACAACCCAATCGCTGAGTTTGTCCATATTTTACCCAGCGCTGGGTTGTATTTAACCCAGCATTTTTAGAGTGTACAGATGTTTCTGAGAATTAATGATCTCATTTGGTTTAATATTCAAAAGACATTCTTTGTTCCTTTAGAGCATGTATAAATGATAAGAGTAAGATTGATTTAATTTGTAAAGTGTGTGTGAGTAAACGGGTGTATGTGTGCTTTTACCGGTAAAATGGTTGAGTGTGAAAATATTTTCTTTTCATAAAAGAAAGAAAATGGATGTGGTGGGAGGGGGAATAAATAAATGGATGAACCCTGTAGAGGAGAAGAAAATGTTGAAAGGAAAAGGAGAGAATTAAAAAGACACTACAGCTTATGGCTAAAATACAATCCATTAAAAACTAGCCCCTGTGATGAACACATACTCACACAAAATGTGTCTGCCGTTTACCTCCTTCTATATGCTTGCTTTATATACGAGTCAGTCACATCCATAAGCATATGCTTGTGTTTTACATCTGATGGAAAATTCCCCCGACATAATAATCAATCTTGACATCATTATTGAAGCAGAAGAGACATTGCCTAGACATATGTTTGCAAATATGTTAATATATTTGTGTTGTAGCAATTTTCATGTTCCAAGGGCTATTTTTTTAATAAAACTAACAGACTTCAACTTCTTTTTGTTATGTGAAGGTCAAAATAAAACAGTCTTTACAAACAGTTTTTAAACAAACTGTATACATTATGGGTCAAAAGTTAAAAGGTAAAGTATAAAAAGGGGCATTTTTTCTTTTTTTAAGAATACTTGAATACTTTTATTCAACATTAAATTGATCAAAAGTGACAGTAAAGATATTTACAAAGTTACAAAAGAGTTCTATTTCATATAAATGTTGTTCTTTAGAACTTTGTACACATCAAAGAATCTTGAGGGAAAAAAAACAGTTACTTAAAATTGTAATAACACTTAAAAAAAATACTGATTTTACTGTATTTTTGATCAAATAAATGCAGTCTTTGTGAGAATAAGAGACTTCTTTCAAAAACACAAACAAAAAATCTTACCGACCCCAAACTTTTGAACGACAAATGCATCCTTCAAATGCCTTGTCAGTGAAGAAGAGCATGAAATGAGATGTGTAAATTATTAAGTAATTTCCAGTACAGAATGCTATTAAACACGACGCACATTGTGACGTGATGAAAATGACATTTGCTTGTTCGTAAAAAAGCAAACAGTAAAAAAAAAAGTGTAAAAAGTGTGGTTTATTTTCTAAAAGTTCACAAGGCCAAAAGTGCCCACTGTTGAAGAAACAGCCGCACATGTGCAAGAATGTCAATCAAATCTGACACCTCCTTCTGGTTGTGCACCTGTTCGGTGTCAGTCAAGTTGTTACAACAGAGAATTTTTGCTGCTATTGACACGTCACACATTTTCACAGGCCTCCCTTTCTCCCCCAGACTGTCTGTCCTCATTTCTCATTCACACTTATGTGTACACCAAATAGCTTGTGGGCAAAATGTAAAGAGCATAATTAAAAATGCATATAACACAATGTAACTATTGCATCTAACCCAAACCTCAGTGTAGCTGCATTTTTGTAACAGTAGCTAGTTTGCTGCTAGTCAAATATTAATATCAAATATCAATAGTGGCCACACCAGCTTGTATTTGTAAGTTAATAAATGACTGAATATTAGCTAAAGGGAAAAAAAGGGGAAAGAACTACAAAATGCATCCCATGTGTCAACAACTTAATCACACCATCTGGACAGAATGAAGAAAATACTAAGCGAAAATCAAAAAGAGGATGCAAATCAAACAAATAGGTACTGACCAAGAGTGAATATGTGTTACATCTTCACCCAAATGTCAGGTTTTCCTTTGAAACATGCTTTTATGCAGAAAATGTGGATTTGAACGCATTTTAAAGATGCAAAATGGTTTACCACCCTATACAATCTAACAGCATGTGAAAGTTGTCATTATTACAGACAGCTCTGTCTCCTCTTCCTCCAGAACTAGAAGCATCTGTACATGCCTGGAATGAACAGACTGGACAGATGAAAGTGATGTTTTAATCAGGACACCTGCAGCTGTCTCATCTGTGTGATTTACAGAGCTGATATGAGGAGCTGAGGAGCTGGACAGAGGGGGAGGGACGGCTGAGGCAGCTGTATCTGGACGCCACTTCAGTTCAAGGGACCAAAGACAACGTCTCAGTGAACACTTCTTTGACCTTCCTTAAACCAGAATAAAACACAGTGAAGTCATTTATTAACCCTCAAGTTGTGCCAAACCTAAATGACTTTCTTTCATCAGTGGAACACACAAAATAAAAGTTTTTGTTTACATTATATATGTGTGTGTATTGTGTATATTTATCATGTATATATAAATACACACACGCATACAGTATATATTTCAAAAATATTTACATGTATTTACATGTGTGTATATATATATATATATATATATATATACCGCGGTGGCTAAAATGATCAAAACGCTAGTATTTTCACCAGCTAAAAAATGGTTTTAAGTCATTTATTTCTATCTTTTGCTGTAGTGTATCTGTAGGAAATTTCAGTTTACATTTCCAAACATTCATTTTACCATTAATTGTAATAATCCAGTGAGATTTTTGTTTGCACAAGGAGTCTGACAACAGCCAGGGCTCCACACATAGATCTGATCATCATCCAGTCTGTCTGGAATGACATGAAGAAACAGAACAAACTGAGACAGACTAAATCCAGAAGAACTGTGGCAACATCTCCAAGATGCTTCAAGAAACCTACTGTACCTGCAAAGCTACAGTGCTGTTAAAAGTTGTGCTGTAAAATGAGGATGCTGTCAAAAAATAATGTCATCGATTTACTTTATCAATTAACTTCTATAAACTAAATTAAATCAACATTTGGTGTGACCATCCTTTGCGTTTAAAGCAGCCTTTGCCCTATAGGTGCACTTGTGCATAGTTTTTCAGGTAGCTTTGCAGGGCACATGAGAACACAAAATAAATTGTGAAAAGGGTCCATTGTAAGGATAGGAATAATCGTATAGGCTTGTTTGAAAAAAATAAAAAATAAAAAAAAATAACAAGAAATACATTTTTAAAAATCCAGCCTGTATTTCCCAGGGAATATATCTGCTTGTAATTCATTTCTTTCCACTATATGAATAGTAATATTCAATCGCCACATTGCACATCAGCATAATTAATCTTATTTTCCACTTCGCTGGAGATAACTGCAATATAACAAAGAGTGAAAAATTGAAGGGGGTCTGAATACTTTCCGTACCCACTGTATATATATATACACACTGTATGTATGTATATATATACATATATATATATATATTAGTTTTTTTGGTAATTCCACTATAACATTTTCCAAAATATCTTGTTTTATATTCAACCAAAGAACGTGTGACAAAAAAGATTTGGAAAGACTTGATTAAATGATTTCTGGGTGAACTATTATTTTGAGTCCATAAACAGTAAAAGTCATATCTCAAAGAATGCTCAGCTGGTTTTTGTACTTTGTATTGTAGGTCTCTCCTTCACTGTTCTTTAAAATCTCAACGGTATAATTTGTGCAACCTTGCATACACAAAATTATAGTGTTCTGCCAAACCCCTGTGGTAAAGATTTGATGAACACTGCCACACATAATCACATGCAAATGAGCTTTTATGGAAAACTGTTTGGCAGAAGTGGCAAACTGCTCATTTTTGCCAAAGGTTTGCTAAAGGTTCACTGCTAACACTACCTGAATGCTTCTGGCAAACAATCAAATCTACCAATTATTTCCTACAATTTGTCTTTACAAGCTTTTTTTGACCGAAAAACCATGCGGTTCTGATCATTGGTCAGATATACAGAACATCATGTATGCTGCTTTCTCTCTTTCTCTGTGGTCCGATGAATTTGTGAGAGAACCATCGATGATTGTGTTTGGCTCAACAATTTCACAATGAGCTGAAATTTGTTTAGTGCTGACGTCATAGTGCAAAATGGCGCATTGTTCATTAGAAAACCTCTGGAGGTTTGAACGCCTCTGTAATGAATTTATTATCTTCCTGCTCCCTAGCTTTTCCTTTTTTATCATTTTCTCCCCCTACCTTCTCCATTTCAATGCCTCTCTTTTAATCACTTACTCCCTTACCTTCAAATTCAGAGAAGCAGTATTGGCAGGAGTATCAAAATACAGTACTGCCAAAGCGATATGAATTCAACTGCCGAAAACAATAAATTAGACTATATGGGGGGGGGAGAAAAGGAAAAGGAAGGAAGGAATAGCTCTAATTACATTCATTACAATAGAGCATTAAGGAGAGAATAAACATTATCCTGTCTCTCAGATGTATTTTCTGCTCATAGCACAAACCTTTTCCCAAGGAAAATAATCTTTTCTGTTTTAAGTTTCTAAACTGTTTTTTTTTATTATTTAAATTTTGAAGGTTTTTTTATTAGTTCATTCAAACTTATTTACATTAGTATTTCATTTTCAGTACAAACAGTATATTCTGTCTTCTTTTCCAATAAAACAATCCAAGCATTTCTAAAAAAATATAGATTTACTTAAGAAGTAGAATTGCATAAGATATTACAGACTTTTTTTCAGAGAGGATATATTTTGATTTCTGTTTATTTTTTTCCAATCCAATTGGCAAATAGTTGTTGTTGTTATTATTAGTAGTATTTTTGATAGATTTATGCTAAAGCAAGAAAAAAGAGGCAAATGTTTTAAGCAAGTTTAGATTCTTTTACTGGAAAACAAGACAACAATTGTTAAGAATTTTATTTGTTTTACTTTTATTTATGCAGAGATGTTCTTCTGGTTCTTTCAGTGCCTTTGTGTTCTTGTTCCATTTCTAGAATGCACCACAAGCCTTCCTTTAATTTATTTAATGGCTTGGTAACTTGCCATTTTGTGGACCTGTTCAAGGTCTGCTAACATTTGAGTTTGTTAGAGGCAAGGGGGAGGTCTACATTTTTCAATAGTTCATAGTTTCTTAAGTTTTCATTAAATTAGTTTGATTACAATTTTGAGGTTTTGGGTAGGTCAGCTTGATTGATTATTTCACTAATTAAAACCTTACACCACATGAAACGTGACTTTTTTTTTGAATTTCCATATTAAGGTCCAGTTCTGTCCTGCACACTTGCAGATTTTTTCTCCGTGTCCTTACTGTAAATTTTGCCATTTGCAGTTGATGAGTTTTTGTCTGTTAATCTTTAACCTCAATTTTTTACAATCTGAATGTGACATTAAATTCCTTATTACTCATATTTGAATACTTTTATGACTGAATTAAATAACTGAATCTATATTTGAATGGTGATTTAATAGCAAAGCCATAAAGCTGAGTGCCAAGATGCTTATGGCCAGCACAGTGCTACAGTAGCTCATAGAAACACCTTTCCACACACAAGCTACAGCACTGGTCCCCACCCTTTACCTTTCTCTCCTCATGAAGACAGCCATCCCTGATCCCTGCAGTTTGCGGTGTCTGAGTGAGCTCTGTGTGCGTGTGATACGCGTGGCCCCCACTGGGCATGACTGCAGTGGAGAGTGCTGCTGCCTGTGGGAGGTCAGAGTCTGGAATCTGGTGTCATGCCATCAGAGGCTATTAAAGCACTGGGTCCTGCAGCGAGAGAGTCAATGAGCCTGACACTCCACCGTCAGCTTCTGCTCATCAGGCTGGGAGGGACAGAGATACTGCTGGGATTAACACACACACAAACACACCTGCAGCAGACCGTTTAACACACACACACACACACACACCTGCAGCAGAACATTTAACTCATAAGCACACATACACACACCTCTAGCAAACCGTTTAACACACACACAAAATCTTTACTATAGAAATGAAAACATGCTGTTGTATGTTCTGCTTTTATATGACATTAAATATAACTACCATAAATATTTATTTACATTTTGTTTATGCAAAGCTGATGATTATTTTAAGCCTAAAAAATAATGGATATTAAAATACCTTTTTGACAAAAAATGAAAAATGAAACCACCCTAAATGCTACACATGAATTTAGGCATCACAATATTACAATGTGCAGTAGGAAATTTGATTTTCAACTTGAGTATTGATAAGGATTACATTTAACAGTGTAATTAATAATTCAAAACATTTAAATTATTAAGTGTTGAAGATTAATTTTAATCTTGTATTATATATATATATATATATATATATATATATATATAGCTC